AACTGTCAGCTGATTTCTCAACAGAAACTATGCAGGCCAGAAGGGAGTGGCAAGAAATATTCAAAGTGATGAATAGCAAGAACCTACAGCCAAGATTACTCTACCCAGCAAAGCTATCATTTAGAGTTGAAGTTCAGATAAAGAGCTTCACAGACAAGAAAAAGCTAAAGGAGTTCATCACCACCAAACCAGTATTACATGAAATGTTGAAGGGTATTCTTTAAAAAGAGGAAGAAGAAAATGATAAAAAAAATATGAACAACAAAATGATAACAAATACATACCTATCAATAATTGAATCTAAAAATCAAAATAAACGAATAAGAAATCTAATGAACAGAATAAACTGGTGAATAAAATAGAATCAGAGGCACGGAAATGGAACAGACTGACGATTCTCCGAGGGAGGGGGGCGGGGAGGTAGGAAGAGATTAAACAAAGATCTTATATGCATATATGCATTACCTATGGACTTAGACAATTAGGGTGGCAAAGGCCTGGGGCGGGGCGGGAACCAGGTGGAGGTGGGCAATGGGGGGAAAAAAGAGGGAAATCTGTAATAATCTCAACAATAAACATAAAACACACACAAGCAAAAACCACATAACACATATACTAAGGGCTGTCTATACTAGGTAACTTTCATAGGCTCACAACACAGTTATTGTGTCTATAGAATATTAGTTTTCTAAAAATTCTGAAAGCGTTTTAGAGTTCAAGGTGTTGATTTTTATTCTTTATGGATAGCAAGATGAACAGTGTAATTCAAAGCATACCCAATTGACATATCTGCAGCTGAATTTCTTTGCTCATCTTCCTTCAGTTTTTCTTGTTTTTCTTTCATTTTTTGTTCTTGCTCCTTAAGTTTCTCTGCCTTCCTTTTACGAATTCTGAAAGTAAAAAAAAAAATTATAGTCTATCAGATGTTTTTAACTTTTAGTATCTTGCCATTAATCATCAAATTAGTCATGCAAACGTTATCACAAAACCAATAATGTAGCAATCCATTTATAATCTCTTAGTAAAGCCAGAAAAGATCAGTGTGAGCCAATGTCATATTACAGCCCTATGTGAAATATGGTTCTAGATGCAAAAACATAAATAGCTTTCATTGGCACAACTGACAATAATTGTCTCTTACCTAGCAGCTGCTTCTTCCCGTTCTTTTCGGTGTTGTTCTGCTTTTAACTCCCGGAACTCCTGCTTGGCCTGTCGTAATATATCAACATAATCTTCAATAAAATCCCTAGTAGAAACTAGGGTCAGTAGTTTCCCACAGAGAGCATGAAGTATCTTCATTTTTTCTCCTGTCAAAAATTGGTAAATAACTTCTGTATTATCAATGACAAAAAAGAAATTATGCTTGAAAAATTTTAATTTGTGGTGCAATGTGAAAATGTTTAAGAATGAATAAGGGAAAGTCTCTTAAGATCATACATGTAAATGGCATGTCTTCAGAAAAAAGCAACATTGAGTCAAATTTAACAGTTATGTGCTATATAAGGCATTTCAAATACTAATGACTACCTCATATACTAGTGAAATAGACATGACAAAAAATTTTTTTTAATCCTCACCTGACCTGAGGATATTTTTCCATTGATTTTTTTTTAGAGAGAGTGGAAGGGAGGGGGAGAGACACAGAGAGAGAAACATTGATGTAAGAGAGACACATGATTGTCTCCCATACGGGGCCCCAGTCGGGGCCGGTGATAGAGCCTGCAAACTGAGGTATGTGACCTTGACCAGAATCGAATCCATGACCCTTTGGTCCATGGATAGATGCTCTATCTACTGAGCCAAACTGGCTATGGCATGGATAAACTTCTAACTACAAAGAATTATTTTTCAAGTTTTAATTTTTAGGCTCATATATAAAGTTCAAATCAAAACTAAATTATAATCCATGAATTTTCTTTAAAACGGCAATAGGTAAATTGCTACTCTGAAAAGACCGCTCAGAAACACTAGCATAAATTATAAAAACTATATGAATGGTAGGAATTAAAGTCCTCTATGTTCTGTTTTCTTCATCATATAAAATTAAACTCTATATATTTGTATATTACAATTTTTTTATTTTAAAAGGCAGTGAAAAGTAACTAATTTTTATACTATTTCTCAAACCTCAAACACTTATTCAAGCAAGTGTTGGAATTTAGTAGTTACAGCTTAAACTTCTGATATACTAATAAAAATGAAAGCTAATTCTCACTTATCCTTTTAAACTTAGTAGATTCAGTAGACAAATCAAAAAAATTTAAATAGAAAACCCATATAAAAGAGAAAAGAAAATCCTAAATAATTAAAGATAATATGAACAATAGTAGTTTCAACATATGTCACTATTGGTATTCCAACACTTTTTTTAAAAAAAATATATATTTTATTGATTTTTTACAGAGAGGAAGGGAGAGGGATAGAGAGTTAAAAACATCGATGAGAGAGAAACATCGATCAGCTGCCTCCTGCACACCTTCTACTGGGGATGTGCCCGCAACCAAGGTACATGCCCTTGACCAGAATCAAACCTGGGACCCTTCAGTCCGCAGGCCGACGCTCTATCCACTGAGCCAAACCGGTCAGGGCCCAACACTTTTTTTTTTAAAGACTGTATTTTCTCTTTCTCTTTTAAAACTACTTATCATCTAAAATATCTCATTAGCTAGTTTTCTGGGTGTAAGAGACATAAGAGAGTAGAAAGTGGAAAGGTTATACAAATTCCAACTTGCAAAGTTTACCTGGTGTCAAATCATAAACTGAAGTGCTTGACAGTTTCTTCACTAAACTGGGATTGCTTAAACGAAGCTCCATACAGGCATCATCTGTAGCATCAAATCCTCCTCGTTTTTGATATCTGTACTTTGCATTTGCTGATGTTACATCAGCACCTGAAGCTAAGATGTGCAGTCTGAGGATTTCAGAAAGGGTGCAGCTATCAAGATCCAAACTTTTCAAACTGCAGCCTATAGTTAAAAATGAAAATAGTCATTTAGGATGTAAACCATAAATCCTCAGCAATGTAAAATGTACCTTTATAAAATTAAAAATAAAAAGCCAATAAAAAAAAGCCCACACATACCCTGGTGCAACTGGGGCCAAGCAGCTGCCAAAGATGCAACTGCAGACAGTGCAGATTTTGTGGGGTCTGCATCTTCATCCAAAGCCTCTGTTAAATCTTTAAGGAAATAAATACTTTATTCTAGTGCAAATCAAAGCTGGAATATTTGGGAACAATGCCCTTTCACAATGATGAAACAGCAAACAGCTTAATATTCACAAACCTCAAAAGAACCAACACTAGGTACAAGCATCATTTATATTCTGCCTACTCTCCACCTAAAACTCTAAATCCTGCGACATGCACTACATATTAATATTTTCCTTACTTAACATAGAGAAGACAACTTCCAAGTTACCAGCAACATGCACATACACCTTCCAAAAAAAGGTAAAATACACTTGAAAATGAAAAACAAATCATTCACTCAATATAACTTTGGAAAATACTACTTTGAAAATCAAAATCCACTTGAAAATATCCAATCTTTAAAAAAAATATATATTTTACTGATTCAGAGAGGAAGGGAGAGGAAAAGTGAGATAGAAACATCAATGATGAGAGAGAATCATTGATCAGCTGCTTCCTGCATGCCCCACACTGGAGATTGAGCCCACAACCTGGGCATGTGCCCTGACAGGAAATCGAACCATGATCTTCTGGTTCATAGGTTGATGCTTTCAACCACTCTGCCACACCAGCTGACGAAGATATCCAATCTTTTTTAAATATCTTAAGATTGAATCATAACAAAGTATAGGTTGTAACCATCACAAAACCAGCAAAGAAAAAGAGCTAAAAGAGTTTAAAGACAGCACTGCTGTCACTTAACCATTGATTTATCCTATACATTTAAATTTTGCTTTGATTTTGAAAACTCTCCAATCTAAAAAACAATAGGAAGATTTTCCTGTATTTTCTAAGTAAATTGCTTTAGCTTTGAAAACAGTGCTTAGCTTACAAATAGGACTAATGAGCAAATCAACAAGCACAAATGTATTTAGAGCATATATAATTATTTCTAATTGTAATACAGAGATGACAAAAAATTAAAGTGTCAACTATGAAAAACTTTAAGCTTACAAAACTTAAGCCTATGTCACAGTACAGTGGACCCAGCTTCAGACTCAGAATCAGATCATGTATAGTCTAGTCTTAGGCTTCTGCAGTCAGTCTCTAGTTCTTCTTTATGTAGTCTTTAGAAAAGTTACTTAATTGGTTTCTTTTTTCTGGATGCGGTAAGTCTAGATCAGCAGTTTTCAAATTATTTCTTGGAAGTCCATTATAAAAGAGATAAAATATGCCCTTGTTAAAGTAGGGTTATGGAGATGACAATCCTGCACATTCATCTTTCCAACTCTCCTGCAGTGGCACCAAGGAACCCCTGTACAACCTGAAGGATTAGTTTGGAAAATTCCTAGGCTAAACTGGTTCTGTGATTCATTAACTTTCTACTATATGATTTCCTTCCCAAAGTTCACAAGCTCACAAAATAAACCTTAGAAAACAGAACTGCTGTCCTTTACTAAAGGAAAAAGGCAGCTCTGATATCCTGTCTGATTACAATCATTGATAATTTCATGGCACTTAAGAATAAACAATACCACTCAGGAGAAATTACCTGACTAAATTTTACATATATGCAGAACTTCTTACCAAGCCACGAATCACAGACTTTATATTCTTCCTCTCCAGGAAAATACTAGACCTAAAACTTTTTCAATTTCCATTCTACTTAAAGCCAAATAAACAAAATTAATAGGCACTGTAAAATTAACAACAGTCCTAGTTGTGAGCTGTAAAAGTGTATTGGCTGTCTTCCTTTGAAGCAATCATACACTCAACCTACTATTTAAAGGCTTAGGAAATGGACAACCAATAAAATAACAATTTACTTTTAATTGTGTTATATTAGCATGTAAAATATTACTTAACTCAATTTATTTACCAAATGGTACTCTCCAGAAACTTTAAATATCACTCTAGGAAGCAGTTGCCAACCTTTCGGACCTCACGAACCACCAGAGGTCTGCAGACCCCCGGTTGGCGATCGCTGCTCTAAGATTTGCTTAGAGCTGGTCTTCTGGGTACATCATACCAAGAGAATCTACACTTGAACTTTATGTGTTATGGCTATCTAAAAGATACTCTTATATCATAGTAAACTAGAATTATGTACATAACATTCCAACACCAAACAACAGACAAAACTATTCTATACTAGAGGCCTGGTGCATGAAAAGCCATGCACTGGAGGGGGGAGGTGGTCCTCAGCCTGGCCTGCCCCCTCTCACAGTGCGGGAGCCTCAGGGGCGGGAGGCGATGCCCCCATCATACCTCTGCTGCTGCCGCTGCCGGCAGCGCAAGCCTCGGCCAGGCCTGGTTACCTGAGCCTCAGGCAGCCCTGGGCAGCTGGGCAGCCAATATCTGAGGCTTGTCTGTGCCTCAGGCTGGCCCTGTCGGCTGGGGAACTGAGGGGACTGGGTGCTGCCATCTTCTGGCTGTGGGGGCTGCCATCTTTGAGGGCGTGGCAGTCAATTAGCATATTCCCTCCTTATTGGCTGTGGGCACTGCCATCTTTGTGATGGTGTGAGGGTCAATCAGCATATTCCCGATTTATTAGATAGGATAAGGAGGATACTCTTATTCCTATGCTCTGAAGGGCTTTCAAGTTTATGATGTAATATTAAAGTGAGGAATAGATATTTTTAATATAAGATTTTAAAAACTGCTGGTAAAAACTTCCAAGATTTGATATAATAGAGAAGAGGGGCAAAGTGATTAGATCTTCTTGAATACAGATAAATTTATGGCCATGCTAGGGAAACAAATATTCAAAATTTCATCTTCTTTGCCCTTATAGCATTGCCAGAGTTTGTATCCCATCACTTTCTTATTAGCTATGTGTCTTTAGGCAAATTAATTAAACTCCTTAAGTCTAAGTTTCTTTATATGTAAAAGGCAGAAAATAATCATATCTACCTCATCAAGGGTGACAAGGAGGATTACATGAAATAATGCATATATAATATTTATATCACTTATTATCTATGTAATCTTCAGTAAATAATCTCAGTGAACCTGTTTTCTCGTCACTAGGATAAATTCATATTTTTCTCTTCTGCCCAATTTCCCCCTTTCTGGAAATAGCAGGAAAATACCTTACTATTAAGACCAGCTAAAGAGGAAGCAAGAGAATATTCAATCCCATATATGACTATTCCATTGCTTTAGGAAAACTGCGGAAAGGCTTTTTTGTTACTGAATGGGAGGACTAAATGAAAGATACCTGGGGGAACAATCTAGGGCTCTTATAGAAACTGAAATAACTATATAAAATGTGATGAAAAATAATAAGGAAGCGAGAGAAAGGTGAAAAATGCCCAAGTATGTTTTTTACCTTCCCTAACATTTAAATAAATATTTTCAAAAGGAGCATTACAACCTTTATTTAATGGCCAATACTTATTTAGAGACCTTACATTTATATGTATAGACAGCTCTACAAAGGAGTAGAGCTATAGAAATTACAGATCAAACAAATCATGAAAACAAAATATAATGACAATACAAATATCAACAGTCACATATATTTTCCCTTTACACAGGGGATTTTCCAACAAAATTTTCTTGTCACCCACTTTTTGTCATCGGGATTTCATCTGCTTCAATTCCTGAATTAAATACTACAGTTTTATGTCCTGTATTAAGGTCAGAACTTGGTCAATAACCCTGTTATGTTATTGGTGATCAAGGCAACTAATGGCTACAAGAATGAATATGTGCTACATTGTCTGTCTTAGATAATCCATCTTTAGTATTGGTGCACGTCATCTTAGATAAACTTTAGATGTTTTAAAAATGGATTTACCCTTCTATCTTCCCTTTCGTAGAATCTCATTTAATTGACTAAGTTATCTGTGATGACAACAGGGACCACATTGCTAAAATGGCCTTGATAAGGGATCTATGGTGATTAGCACTCAAGCTATAGAATATATTTTACTTGAACTCAGGCTATAAAACCCAAAAGCAACCAACATTGTATGCATACTCATCATTATCCTGTTGCTCCCAGGACCAGCATAAAGGAAAATGAGCTCAAATTATCTAAGGCCAGAAATACTATTTGAATGGAGGAATTTCCTACCTTTTTGTACCAAGATTCTGCTATCAAGATGTCTCCCAAGTTATTTCTTATTGTGAATTTGTATGCAATACATTAGTGTTGTTTAATAAAGCTTTTGATCCTAAATCTCATAGGTGGCAAAGTTCACAGAGAGTATTATTTAGGAAGCCAAATCAATCTCTTAATATGGCTTAACAATTCCTCTGATTGAGGAAAATCCTGAACAAAATATTAAAAATAAAAAAGGGTTTATCCAAGAATTATCCCTACATTAATATGTGCCACACATTGACTCCAGATATTTAGGTACACAAAATTTAAAGAGCAAGATTTTTAGTTCAAACTAAGTAGCGAAATTAAAAAAATTAAATTTTACTTAACTCTGATCTTAAAACTGTCAGATCTGAAATGAAATCAGCAGTAGTATTTTCAATTTAAGGTATTAATAACAACAGTAAAAGTATTTCCTTAGGTGGGGCAAAACAGTGCAACTAGCAGAATCTCTTGGAATTACAGATACTAGTCAATGAAATCTGTAATGATACTATATCATAGGAGGAATCTAATGGAATAAAAAGCAAGATAGATCAGGGAGAAAATATTTTCAAGGTCATCAGACACAGGATACATCAAAAGAAAGGTTTTATAAAACAACTGATATTGCATTCCTAGTATATGACTCAAGAATTTGGTAACTTGAACAACTATGTAAGCAAGATAATTTTAAAATAACCTTCAAAAATGAGTATCACTACAAAGCCACTACCAATCAACAATAATATGAATTCTGACCTTTGGTGTCAGCATCAGTTATTTGCTCTTTGGCAACTTCCTCTTCTTCTTCAGCTATCGCCTGGAAGATGGCAGTCAGGAAGAAAAAAAGCAATTCACATAGTGGGCCTTCACTGTCATTTCCTACAAGAGCTTCCTCTAACACTTCTGTGAATAAAATGTTTAAAATCAATTTAAAGTTCTGTTCATGTACTGAAAAAAATCAACTCCAATGGAATAATAAACATTTCAATCAACAATAGCCTATGTAACTATTTTTAAAATGCCCATTTATCAAAGTAGAGCCAAGCATTATCTATGGTAAAATAAAAACCCCCAATTATAATGATTATTATAAATTCCAATAAAATCATAAGCCCAAATCACCACATTCAAGAAAGCCAAATTAGACTCAGTAGATCAATACAATATTTCACCTAAGTTTAAACTTGAGGTGTAAATTAAGATACATCTTTAAAATTATGATTTTACTCTAATTTGAATAACAATGTAAAGATTTGTTATTGTTGCCCCACTGTTCTTAAGAGCTATGTGGGACATTACTTTTACCAAATAGTGCAAAGGAGAGGTAATCAAGATTAGGTGTAACCCTAGTATCAAATCCAAGTCATAAATGTCTCTCATCAAATTCATCTTACCTAAACCAGCATTATTTAGTCCTGTAACAATGACTCATACCTCACCTAGCTCAGAAAGAGAAATTTAGGGAATGTAAAGGCCCTCGTGGAGAATACACTCTTATTGAAATAAGAGTGACGTTATAATTCTGTCTTTGAGGTCTTTAGTTGGATCTTAAGACATTATTTTACCATTTCACAGGAGAAGATCCAAAATAGGAGCCAAAGCTCTAATCATAGTAAGTTAGCTCTTAAAAATGAAGTTCATACAAATTAAAGAATGTAAGTACAGAGGCAAAGCAGAATCACAAATTAAAGGTAGGCATCAACTTGTTTTCAAATATGACTGATGTCAATTTCTTCCTTCCTTGCACTTACTTACCAAGCCACTCTCAAGAAGTGAAGTCTATTCTTTCACCCCCTTGAATACCAGCAGGCCTGACCAATGGAATAGGGCAGAAATAGGGCTTGCCAGTTCCAGGCCTCGAATTTAAGAAGGCTGGCAGTTTCTGTGTCCTGACTCTTGGAGCCCTCAGTTGACACATAAGAAGTATAGGCTACTCTGATGGAGTGGGATGCATGTGGAGGAGTGCCAAGGCACCAAACATGCATGTAAAGAAGCCATCTTGAACATGTAGCCAGGTAAGCCTTGAGATGATTCCATTTCCAGCCACTGTCTGACAGTAACTAGAGAGGACTAGAGAGGTAGGTCCACTGATTCCACAGAACTTGAGAGATAATAATTTGTTCTTTAAAGCCACTAATTTTAGGGTGAACTATAACACAACAAAAGCACTTGCCTAGGGTTACTCCCTCAGGAAATTCATCTTGAAGATCAAAAAGTTCCCCAAATGCATTAAGGAACTCTAATACCATCAGAGCATCACCAAAGATTTCAGGAGGTAGTCTAGTTTTCACTGGAGTTGGTTCTGGAAGTTCCTGCAAGATTAAACAATTTATGTAACTATTTGAATCAAGTGTAGGAAGTTGTAAAAAGTAGATATGATATACTCTTTACCAAATAAGAATTATTTCATGTAACTAGTGGTTCTCAACCCTGAATGTTTTCAACAATCACCTTTAGAACTTTTAAAATTACAGATGTTCTGGCCTTATTCCAACTTTACTAAACCAGTTTCTAAGTATTTTTTCCTTCACCAAATTAAGAACATAACTTTAGGTTGAAGTGTATTTCTGACTACATTTTCTAGTTAAGAGGAACTTTTAACCTAGATTCTGAGGTCAAGACAGTTGTATCAGTATTATCTTCAATATGGGATCTCCTTAAGATATGGAACAGAATTAATCTGCCACCTACTGACTTAGAAATGTTTTCTTATACACTGAGCTGAATGAGCTTGGTTTGAATATTGTGATCATTTCTGGAGACAGAAATAATTTTTTTTAATCCTCCCCTGAGGATATACTTTCATTGATTTTAAAGAGAGAGGAATGGGGGTGGGGGAAGAGAGAAAAATCAAAATGAGAAACATCGATCAGATAGATTGATTGCCTCCCATAGGCACCGTGACTGGGGATCAAACTTGCAACCCTCTGGTGTACAGGATGATGCTCCAACCAACTGAGCCACCTGGCCAGGGCATGGAAGAATTCTTTATCTAGCAATCAAGCTAAAAATGTATGCCTGGTCCCACTGGTTATTAGATTATCAAGTATCACATGATTGACCAATTATTCTGCAGGATAAAAATCATTATTGCCCAGCCAGTGTGGCTCAGTGGTTGAGTGCCAACCTATGAACCAGGAGGTCACGGTTAGATTCCTGGTCAGGGCACATGCCCAGGTTGCGGGCTCAATCCCCAGAAGGGGGTGTGCAGGAGGCAGCCTATCAATGATTTCTCTCATAATTGATGTTTCTCTCTCTCTCTCTCTCTCTCTCTCTCTCTCATTCCCTTCCTCTTTAAAATAAATAAAAATATATTTTAAAAAAATCATTATCAAAGCTTGTTAGGAAATGCTACCTTGAAACTCTAAATATAGCATTTGCTCAACTATTTCCTCTCAGTTAAATATAAAGAGGCCATTATTAATAAGAAAGAAATATTTCATCAACAAAGCCACATAGGGCACAAAGAACATGGGTGTGTGAAACATCACATAACATACTTATACCTTAAGATCATCACATTCCATATCTTCTCTAGGTTTATTCCACTGTTTTAAGTGTTCTATATATTTTCGCTTTTCTTCACGTAACTTCTCTCTTTCCTAGAACAAAAGGTTAATAGAAATTCTTATAAGAAATTCATAAGGCAGCATCAGTATCATCTGGAAACTGGTAAAAATACAAATACTTGGGCCCTACCCCAGATCTACTGAATCAGGAACTCTGGGGTTGGGCCCCAACAATTAATGTTTTAAGAAGTCTTTCTAGTGATTTTTTATGCATGCTAAAGTGTTAGAACCACTGATCAAAACAATGCCTATCTGACATAACTGCTACAAAGACGGAAAATGTCCAACACAGTAGTGCTTAGATAAGTATTAATTCAACCTGGCTCTGCTATAGCAGCTCTCCCCATACTTCAAATCAATTAGATCCTGACAAAGTCGGTAACAAATTATTAGAGTACCTAAAATAAAACCTCCCCTTATATTTGCAATATACTTGTCATTTTCAAGATTCTTTTAAATTTGACAGACTAGAGATACACAGAGGGAGCAGTAAGTAAGAGCAATATTAGAATACAGTTGGTAAATTTCTCTTTCTTTTTAATACAGGCCATTTCTCTTGCTCACTTTTGAAACCCTTACTTCTTGGTTCTGATATTTGAAACTGCAAGATAAATACTGACACTAAAAAAGTCTCCAATAAAGCACAGTATATTTTATTATAATTTTTCCAATAAATGTTTAATATGTGTTAACATTTTCCCTTTGAAATTTAGAAACACCAAAGGTAAACAGATGTGCACTTATCAAACTTTCAACATAAAACGACTAGATGGTTACAGAACTTAACTGTGCTTTGAGTAATCTGCTGAAATAAGTCATTCCCCCACTACAACATAACTCCTATAGGATGTAACAGGATGGGTAATCTCATCACTATTGCTGAGTGTAAATAACACAATATGTTTGCTAAACAAATACCCATGTACATGTATAGAAAGTTTTAAAAATGTTCTTACCCTTTGACCCATTATTCTACTTCTACAAATTTATCCAGGAACATAATCCATAAAAAGGAAATTTGTTCACAAATTTGTATAGAATATCATTATTCATGGGCCAAAAATTATAATCCACTTAACTACATCTATCTGATTAACTATTAAGCAGTCACTAAGAATTCCACCTTACTTAATTTAATAACATGAAGAAATGTTTATAATGTTAAATAAAAGAGTACACAAAATTATAAATGCTGGATCTCTTTTTTAAGGTCCAGAATAAAGATTAGAAATAAATTAACCGAAGTGTTAACAATGCTATCTCTATATGTTACCATTTAGATTACAAGTGTTTTTTGATCTCTGCCTTTTCGGAATGAACATGTATTAGGTACCCCTGCAATGGCCTATGGAAATAATCCATAGAACTTCAGGCAATTTAATAAGCACTGTGTATGACATGATTATTCAAGGCTACCTGTGAGTATCTCAGAAAACCAGTGACTATTACTACCTTTGGAAAAACCAGCTATAGAATTCTCTAAGGAGTATCTACCACTAAAGATTATAATAAAGATTTACTGAAATGTTCTTATTATTCTTTAAGGAGAATAACAACTCTGTAATAATTCTTGTTGAGTCAGATTTTATTGTATTTTTCTAACTATGTATTTTACTTTTAAAGGTTTTACTCATGCCTGGCCGGTGTGGCTCAGTGGTTGAGTGACACCGTTCCTGGTCATGCCAGGGTTGTGAGCTTGATCCTGTGTGTGTGTGTGTGTGTGTGTGTGTACATATGTTGAACTTCAAATAATTCATTAAATTTTTCAAATCAAAAGGGAGGTAAATCAATATTGTTTATCAGTGCTCTATACACAATTATAAATGTAAATGCAAATGGTAAAGGAACTTGAAAATTAACCAGGAATTCAAATGTGTAAAGCACTATTAACTATATGTACAGGGCATAGCTAATATATTTAAATGAATACCTTTTCTCTTTCTATTTTAAGCCTTTCTTTTTCTTCTTTTTTCTTCATTCTCTCTTCTTCAACAATTTTTTTCAACTCTTCCTTCTTTTTCTCTTTATCTTCCCTTTCTTTTTTCTTTGCTTCTAGGGCATCTGCTTTTTCTCTTTTTAATTTAGCCTTTTCAAAAGCTGTGAAGAAGGTCAAAGTTAGAACTGCACACAGACAAAAAAACAACGTATTTTGTAATGTAACATAAAAATCCTGAAATAATTTAAGGTTAAATTAGATAAGCAGAGATACACAGGGGTTACAAATTCCTGAAGGGAGCCAGCAGGTGATTAAAACCAAAAAAGCAAGTTGGCTGGGCTTAAGATAAACTATTGCAGTGGGACAAACATTTACCTGCTTTTAAAAGCCCTGCTACTCAAAGTGTGGTCCTAAGAGCAACAGCCAGGTTATCACCTTCTTAGAAATGCACAATCTCTTCTGTCACACACAACTACCAATTTAGAATCTTTGTTTGTAATACTGTTCCCAAGTGATTCATATGCACAGTCAAGTTTGGGAAGCCATGTTTTATAAGGCTGTGGGACTGAAACAAAATGGCCCAAAACAGTTTGTAACCTCTAGAAACTCCAAGTTGTGCTTAATTCAGCATTAGGTCAGTTTAACATGGGATACGCTATACCTTGAAATAGATTTAAGATAAGCAGAGTTCTCATTTATCATAAAAATCAATAGATACTTAAAGGAAAAAAACAACAACCTGATTTATGCTTTTTAAAGACCCCAGAAATATGCATTTTTAGAAACACCCCCCACCGGGCACAGAGAAGTATTCTTTCCTGTATCTAATCAGATTTTGGACAGAATGTTAAAACTCACCCAGTGATTTCATTTCTTCTTGTTTCAAAAGTTTGTCTCTTTCTTTAGTAGCTTTATTCCTATAATTTCCAATAGTCTGTTTATTAGCAAGACTGGCCTCCTAAAAAACAAACCAAGAAACTAAGGTTGTAGAACCACAACTTCTACAAACTGACAGTCTGCCTTGTTTTTACAGTAAGAAAAACAAAATATTGAATAGCCCTCCTCAATTATACTTTCTTTGTATTAAAATGAGGTTTTACTAAAGCATAACTGAACTTTAAGTGGCACAACAAATTGATGTTTCTCTCTCTCTTCCTAAAATCAATAAAAATATTTGCATAAAAGTAAAACTATACTTATTAGGATACCATTAATCCCATATAATAAAAGTGTAATATGCAGATCGACTGAACAGCGGAACACCCAGTCGGCGGGGGGCGGGGCTGGTGAGCAGGTGGCGCCAGGCCAGCCAAGGCGCATGCCAGTGGGCAGAGGGAGGGAACGGCGATGGGTGGGGGGCGGCAACCAGCGGTGGCGGAGGGGTGATGTGGGGGTGGGGCAGCACCGTCCCCTGATCAGCCCATCCAGTTGCCTCCAGCAGAGGGAGGCCAGGTGATGGCGTCAGCAGGGTGGTGGGGGCAGCACCATCCCCTGATCAGCCCAGATGCAACAGCATAGTGGTAGAGTGATGGGGGTGGCGCCGTTCCGGACACCCCCTGAGGACTCCCGGACTGTGAGAGGGCACAGGCTGGATAGAGGGACCCCCACTCCAGTGCATGAATTTTCTTGTACTGGGCCTCTAGTAACATTTTAATTCAATATCTGTATACTCTATTGTGTGCTCACCACCCAAAGTCTAGCTTCCTTTGTTACCATATATTTGACACCCTTTACCTAATTCACTTCTGGTAACCACCATTCTGTTGTCTATATCTATGATTTTCTTTTTGTTTTGTTAGTTTACCTTACTTTTTGTTTTATATTCCACTTAATAAGTTGTTGTCCTTTTCAGTCTGACTTATAACTGCATTTTTAATAACCCTAATCATAGTATCATAGTAACTTTTAATAACTTTAATCATCATACTAATTCTGTAGTCTACAAATTAGTCCAAAAATCTTCCAGAAAAAACAACTGGTAACCTATAAAGGGAGACTTAAGAAAATATGCACTAGATAAAAAAAAAAAAAATCCTTATAAACTAGATGGTATAGACATCAACTATGTAAGAGGTAGAGAAAAGACATGTCAGAAACATTCTGTGGCTAATGTTAAAATATGTCGTTTATTTCTACTTTATTTCTTGCGAAAATAATGTCTCTAGCCTGCTTTACTATCTCATATATATTAAATACTCTTTATGTTTCAATACTATCATTTATTCCCTCTATTTCTTCCTGGTTTACATTTTAATAATTGCTTATATGCTTGCTTCCATTGTATTAAATTCCTGTGGCATGAGAGCCATGTCTAAAATTCACACCTGAAGCTTCTACAAACCTCACTGCTGGGCAGTTATCACCATATAGTACACACATTTTCTCTGTGTGTAAAGGAATGTGTTCCTTCCTACAGGCTATGGAGGTGGGGGAGCTAAACAATACTTGATTTTAAATAGTTTTATTCAGAGCTACAAGGTAGTTTTTATCTATTCTCTACTTACCTGACTAATAGATATTCGTTTGGGTGGTCTCCCTCTTCTCCTGCTAGCAGTACTGAAGAGAAAGGTGGGTGGATCATCAGGGAAAAAATAAGAAAAATCTTGGTCTGCTATTTTATATGTTGAAAGAGAGGATGCCTTCATAAAAAACAACAACATAGGATACAATAACACATTAGTAAACCACAAGTGGATATCCTCTAACATATCATATGACTAACATATTAGGCCAGGCCCAGAACATTAAAACTTCTTGTGCTATTATGAAGTAATATATATATTAGTTAGTTTACTTTCTCCTTTAAAAAAAACTGCATAATTAATTAGCTTTACTAGGAAGAAAAACAAAATTGAAATACAATGAATACTCAAGAAGAATGTTTCAACAGTTTCTCGAATTCTAAAACTATTTCAAAATTACATTTACACAAGAATAATTTTTTATTTGCTTTGCTTTTGAATAATTTTGTATGAGGTTTTTTTTCTTTTTTTGTTGTTGTTAATCCTCACCTGAGGATTTTTTCCCATTTATTTTCTTAGAATGGGAGTGGAAGGGAGGATGGGGGGGAGGAAAGGAGAGAGAAATACTGATGTGAGAGATTGGTTGCCTCCTGCACATGCCTGACTAAGGCTGGGCGAAGGGGGGCGTCGAACCTACAACCCAGATAAGTGCTCTCAACCCTTTGGTGCATGGGCTGATGCTCTAACCACTTAGCACACCGGTTAGGCTGTATGAGATTTTCTATGTAAATAAATAATCCATATATTTAACATTAAAATCCATTGTATTAACCAATAAATTTTTCTTAACCATTTCCTAACTGCTAACCATTTAGCTCCCCCCTACCCTGGGGTGATTTTATGTATTGAATTTTAAAGTTGACCTGGATAAAAGCAGAAATACTGACAAATTCCTATAAAGTTTCAACTCAGAATTTTAGTTCAGAGAAATCAATCTCATTTTTATCAGAAGTGGTGTGGTTCTAGAATAACTGATCTGAGGACTCCCGGACTGTGAGAGGGCACAGGCTGGATAGAGGGACCCCCACTCCAGTGCATGAATTTTCTTGTACTGGGCCTCTAGTAACATTTTAATTCAATATCTGTATACTCTATTGTGTGCTCACCACCCAAAGTCTAGCTTCCTTTGTTACCATATATTTGACACCCTTTACCTAATTCACTTCTGGTAACCACCATTCTGTTGTCTATATCTATGATTTTCTTTTTGTTTTGTTAGTTTACCTTACTTTTTGTTTTATATTCCACTTAATAAGTTTTTGTCCTTTTCAGTCTGACTTATAACTGCATTTTTAATAACCCTAATCATAGTATCATAGTAACTTTTAATAACTTTAATCATAGAACTAATTCTGTAGTCTACAAATTAGTCCAAAAATCTTCCAGAAAAAACAACTGGTAACCTATAAAGGGAGATTTAAAAAAATATGCACTAGATAAAAAAAAAAAAATCCTTATAAACTAGATGGTATAGACATCAACTATGTAAGAGGTAGAGAAAAGACATGTCAGAAACATTCTGTGGCTAATGTTAAAATATGTCGTTTATTTCTACTTTATTTCTTGCGAAAATAATGTCTCTAGCCTGCTTTACTATCTCATATATATTAAATACTCTTTATGTTTCAATACTATCATTTATTCCCTCTATTTCTTCCTGGTTTACATTTTAATAATTGCTTATATGCTTGCTTCCATTGTATTAAATTCCTGTGGCATGAGAGCCATGTCTAAAATTCACACCTGAAGCTTCTACAAACCTCACTGCTGGGCAGTTATCACCATATAGTACACACATTTTCTCTGTGTGTAAAGGAATGTGTTCCTTCCTACAGGCTATGGAGGTGGGGGAGCTAAACAATACTTGATTTTAAATAGTTTTATTCAGAGCTACAAGGTAGTTTTTATCTATTCTCTACTTACCTGACTAATAGATATTCGTTTGGGTGGTCTCCCTCTTCTCCTGCTAGCAGTACTGAAGAGAAAGGTGGGTGGATCATCAGGGAAAAAATAAGAAAAATCTTGGTCTGCTATTTTATATGTTGAAAGAGAGGATGCCTTCATAAAAAACAACAACATAGGATACAATAACACATTAGTAAACCACAAGTGGATATCCTCTAACATATCATATGACTAACATATTAGGCCAGGCCCAGAACATTAAAACTTCTTGTGCTATTATGAAGTAATATATATATTAGTTAGTTTACTTTCTCCTTTAAAAAAAACTGCATAATTAATTAGCTTTACTAGGAAGAAAAACAAAATTGAAATACAATGAATACTCAAGAAGAATGTTTCAACAGTTTCTCGAATTCTAAAACTATTTCAAAATTACATTTACACAAGAATAATTTTTTATTTGCTTTGCTTTTGAATAATTTTGTATGAGGTTTTTTTTCTTTTTTTGTTGTTGTTAATCCTCACCTGAGGATTTTTTCCCATTTATTTTCTTAGAATGGGAGTGGAAGGGAGGATGGGGGGGAGGAAAGGAGAGAGAAATACTGATGTGAGAGATTGGTTGCCTCCTGCACATGCCTGACTAAGGCTGGGCGAAGGGGGGCGTCGAACCTACAACCCAGATAAGTGCTCTCAACCCTTTGGTGCATGGGCTGATGCTCTAACCACTTAGCACACCGGTTAGGCTGTATGAGATTTTCTATGTAAATAAATAATCCATATATTTAACATTAAAATCCATTGTATTAACCAATAAATTTTTCTTAACCATTTCCTAACTGCTAACCATTTAGCTCCCCCCTACCCTGGGGTGATTTTATGTATTGAATTTTAAAGTTGACCTGGATAAAAGCAGAAATACTGACAAATTCCTATAAAGTTTCAACTCAGAATTTTAGTTCAGAGAAATCAATCTCATTTTTATCAGAAGTGGTGTGGTTCTAGAATAACTGATAAATCCAAGGGTTTCTCTCCTTTCACCTTGTATTCAGAACTTTTTCACCTTTTTTATCCATGTCCAACTCTAGATTTTTTATTAGCAATTTTGAAGATTATTTTTGTCTAATTGCCAAGATTATCATTCACCCTCCTTCCCTTCCTCCCTCCCTCCCTCCATCTATACACACACACACACACACACACACAATTGATTTTAGAGAGAGGAAGGGGGAGGGATAGAGAGATACAAATATAAATGAGAGAGAGACATAGATCTGCTGCCTCCTGAACACGCCCATGGGGGATCAAGCCCAAAACCGGGGCATGTGCTCTGACCAAGAATTGAACCAGCGAACTCTTGGTTCATAGGTTGATGCTAAACCACTGAACCACACCAGCCAGCCAAGAATTTTCTTTCTCTTGAAGAAAATGTGCCATTTACAAAAATATCTTTCAGGAAATGTGTAAGAATATAATGATACACAACTTCAAATTATTAACAAAACACTTCTATTGGGAATTCAATTTTCTATACAGTTCCATTTTGGCTGGAACATAGCTTTTAACATCTAAAACTCAATTAGTTCTGGCCATCAGAAATCAAGAATCTATTAAGATTTTACACAGATTCCATTAAGATAGTTGTCTACTATCCCACTTAAATAACCCCTGAATATATAGAATTTCCCTGTAAGTATGAATATAAGGCACGTAGTTTCTTTTCAAATATATATATTAAAAGAAGTCAAAATAGGCTTTAATGTATTAATTACTAAGGTTCCTTATTCACAGATAAATACCAGTATCTTTGTGTATTTGCATATTTGCAGGCATTCCTAAAACAGTCTACATTTACCACACTGAATATCACTGTGCTTTGTCGAGGGTGTGTGTGTGTCTCTCTCTGTGTGTGTGTACATGCATGTGCTTGCACCAGATATCCATTAATAATCTTTCATTATACTCTAAGAGAAAAATGTTTACTGTCACCTTAATTTTCATTTATTTATTAAGTAAAGTTGAACTTCATTCCATGTTTATTGAATGCTTACTTTCCTTGGAGAATAACTGCTGATGTCCTTCACTACTTTTTCCAATTGGATTGTTTTTGTTCATTGATATATAAGAGATCTTTGTAAATTAGAGGAATTAGTCAACTGGCTATTTACAATACACATATACAGCTATTCATACATAATATTCACTGACTGCCTACCAAACGCCAGACACTGTTCTAGCCACTTAACACAAGTATCCAAATTGTTAACTTCTTGTAAGCATTATTTTATGTGGCTATCTGATATTCAATGCCATAGATAAAGCATAATTGGGGGGGGGGGCAGGAGCGGAGTGGAGGGGGTCACTGGGGAGAAAAAGGGGACATCTATAGCACTTATTCAACAATAAGACTGGAGGCAGCCAATCAATGATTCTCTCTCATTACTGATGTTTCTTTCTCTCTCTCCCTCTACTTTCCTCTCTGAAATCAATAAGAGAAAAATAAAAAAAGAGAATGCATAACATTAAGATTTGTTTCATTTCTTTCTTTTTTTTTAGTTAACCAAATGTCCCAGATTTATTTTATTTATTTTCCATTGATTTTTAGAAAGAGTAGAAGGAAGGGGAGACAGAAAGATAAATCATAAATGTGAGAGAGACACATTGATTGATTGTCTCCTACATGTGTGTGGGATCAAACATGTAACCCAGGTATGTGCCCTTGACTGGGAATCAAATTCAAGACCCTTTGGTGCAAAAGTCGATGCTCTAAACACTGAGTCACACTGGCAGGGCCCAGTTTTATTTAATAAATACAGCAGGTCTTCGGATTACATCGGACATCGGGAACAACATAACGCGATTTTGGCCGTAAGTTGGAACCCACCTACATAAGCACCTATGTCACTCACATGGAACACATACACAGCAGTAATGAAGTGAAACAATAAAAAAAAATTTAAAAGAAAGATAACAATTCCTGACCTTTACTTGTGGTAAATAAATAATAAAAAACAAAGCAGATATGTACATACGTTGAAATGACAGAACTTTTTTTTTAATAAATGGGAGATGGTGACGTAACCACGAAATGACATACGTCGAGTCCCACGTAACCTAAGGACTGCCTGTAATCTATCTTGGTCTCTAGTGATTACTAATCTATTTTTTCATTTATTTTCTTTTGATGTAACATTTAGATATAATGAAATGCATCAATCTTTAGCATACAATCACTGATTTATGATGCATGTAATACATCTCCCTTACCCATTCTATTGCTTTTTTACTTAGATTTAGCATTTATCGCAATGTGTGTTAAATATTTCTCTCTTTTTATATGTGTGCTCCAAAAATACTTTATTTATAAAACCAGGCAGCTAGCAGGTATTTGCCCACTGGTGCTAGTTTGCCAACCCTTGATCTGGTGACAAATATTACTACCATCACTTGAGGAAGACAGAAGTGAAGCCCCAAAAGGTTATTTTACTTACTTACCCAAGGTATCATAGATAAATTACAGAATGTGAATTCAAATTAGTACTAGTCAAATTTATTTTAAAATATATCAACTAGTAATCTATCTATATATATAAAAGGCTAAAGTGTTCATCCATCTGACCAGTAGCTATGACGTGCACTGACCACCAGGGGGCAGATGCTCAATGCAGGAGCTACCATGACATGCACTGGCCATTTAAAAATAAACGGCACCAGACAAACCAATACGTGGCTTCCCCCAAGTGGGACACAGGCACCACCACCACCCCAGAGTGACACCCCACCAAATTGCAGCCAACACTGCCAAGACCCCACGGCACAAAATGCGGCCCACAGCCCAGCCCAGCCTAGAAAGGGTTGCTGTGGGCTGCTGTGGGCGCCTCGTAATGACGTCATGTAGCAACGCCCAGCCTCCTCTCCCTAGTGACTAGCCTCCTTGCAGTTTCTTCAGCCCAGGAACACAACTTGCTTTATAGCCAGTGCAAACATTTACAGTTTAACCATATGTTTGTGAAGCATTTTCTCATGCCTCATCTCATTTTATCCTCATAGAAGTCCTGGAGTAGGTAGATTGGAGACTTGGTAGAATCCTATTTTCTTTTCATTAGGCGGAAAATGGAGATTTAGAAAGTCTAGAAACTTGATCCGACTGAAAAGTAAGAAATGGTGGACCTTGAAAATGACTGCTGCAGTTAAATATTTTACCCTTTGTTCTCCCTGCACGATCTATAATAATAATCTGCTTTGTATTGATATTTACTGCTGTGTTGCTGACAATTACCTGAAAGAGAAGTTGGGGTGCTTCACTGGGCTGGAAAAAGTTTAGCTACATCAGAAAGCAGGTCTAATTAAGCAAGTTTATTCTATATTGACACTTCTATTATAGAGAAAAGGCAAATAGCAATATTAAAGTATTTCTTCTAATTAATTTCCTTTCAATGTGCATGAATCCGTGAACCGGGACACTAGTAGTAATATAAAAAATAAAGTAATTTAATCATTCACCATCTTTTTTTAGTATTTTGATAAATGAATTTTATTTTTTAATTTTTTATTAAATTTAATAAAAAATTTATTGGTCAATATGATCATATAGGCATCAGGTGTGGGTCTCTATATTACAAAATCTGTATATTGTACCATGTGTTCACCTCCCAAAGTTAAATCTTGTTTGGTCACCATATATTAGGACCCCCTTCTCCCCCCCACTCCCTTCCCTCTGGCAACACCACAGTGCTGCTTGTGTTTTTCTCATTCTAAAGAATTAGTTTTACCATTTAACTTTTTACTCAGTGTACAATGTGAGGTTTATAAACTTTATTTGTCCTCCTTTAACAGTTATGAATAAATTATAATCTTAGTATTGGTCTCTGATGTTCTTTTTATTATATATATTGTTTTCCTATCTAGTAGGATCTATTTCAGCATTGTTCTTTGATCTATTTTTGTGAGCCATAACCACACTATTAGAAAATTATAGTTACCCCACCCCCACAACCTTTCCTTTTCCAAGTTTTCCTTCTATTCTCACCTGGTTAATCATTTTTATCAGGAAAAAAAGTGGTAGTACCTATACCATGTAGCAATTCTAGAAATTGCAAAAACAGTATTTAATCCAATCCTATATAATAAAAGGGTAACATGCAAATCGACCAAACGGCAGAACAACCAGTTGCTATGATACGCACTGACCACCAGGGGGCAGATGCTCAACGCAGGAGCTGTCCCCTGGTGGTCAGTGCACTCCCACAGGGGAGCGCCACTCAGCCACAAGCCGGGCTGATGGCTGGCGAGTGCAGCGGCAGGAGCCTATCCCGCCTCCGTGGCAGTGCCAAGGATGTCCAATTGTGGCTTAGTGGGGAGTGGGCCTAAGCCATCAGTTGGATATCCCCCAAGGACTCCCGAACTGCTAAAGGGCGCAGGCCGGGCTGAGGGGACACACCCCCGCCCGAGTGCATGAATATCATGCATCGGGCCTCTAGTATGTAAAGAAAATTACTAAAAATTGGCTCTAGGTAAAAAGAGCTATTTTTAACCAATTTTGAATGAACATTTCTGCAATAACTTTACCAGTGGCCCGGTGCACGGATTTGTGCACACTGAAAGGAAATTAATTAGAAGGTGGACAGCTGGACAGGACTGGGCGAGACAGGCTGGACATGCCCTGGAGCCAACCTCCCGCGGTCTCTCCCCTTCTGGCCGCACCTGGGGTGGTGCTGCGGCTCAAAGGGCATCTGCAGTCACCGCAGCTTGGCAATAAACCAGACTCAGGCCGACAGTGCCCCAGCAACAACACAACCCATGGCCAAAGGTGGAATCACATGGTACTGCAAGGAACTGGCCTCCCTCCTCTCTGGTTCCCAGGTGTGCCTCCCGAGAACCGCTGCTGCCAAGTCACCGCAGCTTGGCAGCTCCTGCATTGAGTGTCTGCCCCCTGGTGGTCAGTGTGCGTCATACCTACTGGCCAGTCGGATGGTTGCTTAGCCTATATATATAACAATCACACTATCCATTTCTCCTTTTTTCTTCTTTCTAACAAATAATTACACTGTTCTAATTACCTTAATTTTAATGACTCCATCTTGTGTTTCACAGTGTTGCTTTAGAAAAAGCTTTAGTTTATCACGAGAAAATAGGTGTTTTCTCCGGCTAACAGGGAAAAAAGGAGAGGAAAGTGTTAGGATCAAAGAATTCAATCTGAACTTCATAATCTCTGTAAATCCATAACCTCAATTTCAAGCCTAGGAAAATGACATTTCATTTTCTAAGAGTATTTATGTAGAAGTAGCAAGAAACTTTATACAGAAGTACTTAGTAGAATGTTATAACATCTACTTGATTGGATCTATTATAAAAGTCCATTAAAATAGTATATGCATTTATTGCTTAGGAACCACTTAGAAATAAACCGCAAGGAAAATATACTACTAAGAGAAAACCAAATCTTATAAAATTAGATGATCATTCCTACAAGTTATCACCATTAAAATTCTTTAAAAAATTAAAATCAGCAGTCTTTATCAGTAACACTAGGTAAATCAACATTCAAATGGATATTGTGAATAGAGTAGGACATGGGTTTTATCAAATTCTAAAATATTTTGTGTTTAAACTTCATATGGCAGCCAACATATTCATGGGATTAGAATGAAAGAGAATTAGAATTTTTAAAATTCAAATAATATACTATTTTTTATTCTCCCTTGCTCCCAAATTAAAAAAGAGTTACTACAACAGTAACAAAAACCACAACAAAACAAAAAAAAATGACACACAAGAATTTCTGGAAAGTTTCTGGAATAATGATTTAATTCAATTCAATGTCTTCCTTTCAAGAAAAAGCCACATTAAAAGCTTCTATGAGTAAATAAACTATTAAAAAGTTTTTAAGTGAAAGGCCCTCCCAAAAATATTATCACTTTTCTTCAAACACACGAGTATATATGGGACAAAAGGATGAGAAAATAAGTAAAAGCACTTTACATCAAACAAAATGCAAGATGGACTCCTATGTGGCGAGTTGATAGTAGGCTGATAATATCAACTTATTCAGATGACTAAGAGCCTAACCTCAGCAGGCAAAAATAGGAATTTTCCCTATGTGCAGTGCTGATTCTTTTGTTAACCACTCATTACCTCTCTTTTTTTTGATTAGGTCTCAAAGAGGAATTTTTAAAGATACTCAATTATTTAACTTTCTTAAGAAATGAGAAAAGACTGATCAGATGCTTGTATCTAATGAAGAAATTATTACAAATGTGACTGACATATTTTTAAGCACCATCAAATTTCTCAGCTTTGAAAATTGAGTTCTCTCATGAGAAGTACTTCATAAATAGCATCCTTCATAATTTCTTAGATGTGAAGACTATTTACAAATCTAAATAAAGGGCTCATGGAGTCCATTAAGATTCATGTTATCAACCTATGAGCATATAAATGTACATTTATTTAAAAAAAAAGAAGCAACTGCTTCCAAGTTGTTTTATATCAAATCTTCTTAACCTACCATAATTATACTACTTTAAAGCAGCACAGAAAAGATACTGAATTTTACCTGATTTGTGTGGCTTTAACAATAGCACACTCAAATAATTCTTTTTTAGTGGCTTGCACCTTGTACTTGAATAATAAGGGATCAATTGCATCTCGTTTCTTCCTAAAAAGAGTAGAGATATAAATTGGTTAATAATTTATTTGGAAAGGTGAGGTTTTAAATAGAAATCTAGTTCCTAAGAACATACTATAACAGAACCTAAAATATTTTTAAAAAATATATTTTATTGATTTTTTACAGAGAGGAAGGGAGAGGGACAGAGAGTCAGAAACATCGAGAGAGAAACATCAATCAGCTGCCTCCTGCACACCTCCTACTGGGGATGTGCCCATAACCCAGGTACATGCCCTTGACCGGAATCGAACCTGGGACCTTTCAGTCCGCAGGCCGACGCTCTATTCACTGAGCCAAACCAGTTAGGGCCTAAAATATTTTTATATTTTCTTTTATTTTAATCTTCACCCAAAGATTTTTTCCATTGATCTTCAGAGAGAGCTTGAAGGGAGGGAGAAAGAGAGAGAAGGAGGGAAGGAGGAATAAAGGAATGATGGGAAGAAGAGATATGTGAGAGAGATACATCGATTGGTTGTCTCCTGCACTCTCCCAGACTGGGACAGGGATCGAACCTGCTACTGAGGTATGTGTCCTTGACCGGGAATGGAACCCCCGAGATGCTTTGGTCCCTGGGCCAATGCTCTAACCACTGAGAAAAAACTGGCCAGGGCTGTGTATTTTAATTTTAACTAGAATTTTAAATGTTACTGATATTCCTTACCATTCTATTAGCCAGAATAGTACAAAGCACTATTTTGTTAGGTAGATACTCTAATTTCTCATTCGATAAAATTTTCCTTGGGTGAAGAAAATAGTTAGAGATGACTTAGCACAAAGTACCCAGTTTAGTTTAAATTAATAAACAAACAAATAGCTCTTATATTTGCTTTTAAACTTTCCTCTTCATAGCTTTGTAATTCAAGAACAAAAGTAGAGATAATGTAGTTTATCCTATTTTAAGAATTGGCAAAGAAGTACACATTTAAAACCTCCACTCCCATCAACTTATCTTTTCTTCACTTTGAGGGTGTATTCATTCATTCATTCATTCATTCAGTTATAAGTTTCAACATGCTACAATATGGATGTACTTTAAAAAATAATATGAAGTGAAATAAGCCAGACACAAAAGAACAAATATTGTATGATCCCACTTATATGAAAATATGTAATTAATGCCACTAAATTATACATTTAAAATGGTTAAAATGGCAAGTGATTATGTTATACATGTTCTCTCTCTTTCTCTCCATCTGCCTCACCTTTTCTCCCACAAAATGCTGGTGATCATTTTGAGCACCTAGGCTTATTTCCAATATCCTGCTTTAGTATATCTTGCAGGTATTATGAACTATGTGATACTTTTCTAACTCAACTTCTATTTCTCCTCAATGATATAAGAATATGACTACCTATCCTTATAGAATGGGTCTGAGAAATAAATAAGACAACATATGTGGGTGCTGTTACACAGTTTAACTCATGGAAAATGCCACCTACTAAAACATAAGAAAATCCAGATTACATTTTGTTTGGAGGGAACAACCAAGAAGTAAATCACTTAAGTTAGGGAATTAATAGAAATAACTCAACAGATGCTCTGGCTGGTGACGCTCAGTGGTCAGGCATCGGCCCAAGCACCAAAGGATTTCAGTTCGATTCTGTCAAGGGCGAGTACCTGGGCTACAGGTTCGATTCCAGGCCCCATCTGGGCATGTGTGGGAGGCAACCAATCAATGTGTCTCTCTCACATTGATGTTTCTTTCTCTTCTTTTTTCTCTCTTCCTCCCTCCCTTCCACTCTCTCTAAAAATCAATGGAAAAATATCCTTGGGTGAGGATTAACAACAACAACAACAAAAAATAGCTCAACAGAGTAAAGGTCCACAGATGTCTATGTTTCACCCTTCCTGATATCTCAGGATATAGCAGTAACAATCTATAAACAACCTGGCATTTTATGATGTTGATGTATAATGAAAGCTCAGATTCTTTGAGAATCACAAACTGGTTAAAAATATCTATGACTAAATAATAGACCAGCTTACTCATTTTTCCTATATCAAGTGTTTATTCCTATGGCTAAATCCAGTTACACTTTGTAATGAGCTTGTTATAAGTGGCACAAGTGAGATTGACCAATAGAAATACTCCTCTAAATGCTACATATAACAGGCAAAATATTCACTTACTAATTGGGATTCTGAATTAATTTGCTTTGTACTCAAGGTAAGAAATTAGCCACAAAATATGTAGGTAGCTCTTATTCAAATCTAAAAAGAAGGGAAAGGACATTAATGCACCGAATAAGAGAGTGCCAAACCTAAGAAGCTAGACATTCCCCATCTCAAAACACGTAAAAGAATTAGAAGAGTATAGTAAAAGTTACTATAAAATAATCTTAAATAAATTATTTTAAAAAGAAAAAAATAGATAAACAAATGCTTACCACATTTAAACATCAATTTAAAAAATATCTTTTACATACAAAATCTGTATTTAACTGTTCAAGACTTATCTAATATATAACTAAATCTAAGGGTTACAATCTTTGTGATAGTCCAAAAAAAAAAAAAATCACATGAACTACTTTCAGAGTTGCTAAAGAACATACATTAACTACCACAATATCCACTAATGTTGCACGCCAAACTATGTATTCAATAAGACACACAGACAAGTGATCTATTAATTTCTTTTTCTGCTTAACAGCAACTCAAGAAAAAAATGAGATGTATCAAAAGACTTATATAGGACCATATCACGTTTCATTCACTCACCCCAAAATCGTTTTTTTTCTGTCAGGCAATGTATTAGTTAGATGACCTCGTGCAAAGCCAATTAACCTTTCTAAGGCTCAGATTCTTGTTAAGTAAAAATAACAATACTCTTTCAGAGCCGACAAACATGCAAATCAAGCACTTTGCACAGTGCCAGGACACAGTAAATGCTCAAATTCTAGCTATGGATACAATAGTTCGAATCAGACAAAACAAGAACTTGAATTACAAGGTTTTGAGGGATAGAACCTGTCACTAGCATTTTCAGGAGCAAAGGAGTTAAAGGAAGTATTTAAGAGTGGCCTCCAGTTTCTTATTTGATTATGGTACTATTCACTGAAAAGAGGGAAGAAAAAGATAAGAAAAGGCTGGAGAAAGCGTTTTTACGTCTGAGATTCCTAAAAGGTAGAGCAGGAACAGAATGAAGCAGTGAAGAATTAGGTAGTTGTAGAGAACAGGAGGGAACTGAGCTAAAACACTTAAGACACTTAATCAATTGAGGACTCAGCAGAGATTTTAAATTTACCTGCAGGGAGTGCTAATCTAGATGTGTGTGTGTGCTTTTTCTCTAAGAGCACTCAGCAGAATAAGGCTGCCAAATGAATGCATTTCAGGAAGTTACAGAATTTCTTTACCACATGTATCATAAAGTGAGTAAGTCTAATAAAGTACAGAATGAATTTCCCCAAGTAAACAAAAGCGGAATGTGTAAATATAATTGAATGAGATGAGCTTCAATTGCTCTTAAGCTGCTAACTAGAGTTAACTACGTTTCAGTTTTATAAACTCTAACACGTTGTGGAAACACATTGTTTAGCTGAATAGTATACCACAATATGACTAGAAAAGAAGAAGGGAGGGATTAAAGAAAAAATTGTTTCAATGGTATGTCATTAGCCAATCTGATATACATTTTAAAATGAATAAAAATCACTTACCTATTTTGAAAAGAACTGTTTTGTGTTTCTGAATCATCACTATCACTGATAATAATAGTTTCTCCATCTACACTACTGACATGTCCATTAGAAAAACCATTCTGATGTGACGGAGGGAGGACTTCCAAAATCCTACACTGTAACCTGAAAGAAAATGATACATTTAAAAATGCAAATAATTTGACATTTTAAAATCAAACATTTCAAATGATGTAATTATTGTGAACTGAAAAGTTATTTTGTTTTATGGAAACTATGACTGATTGATGTAACCAATTTTACAAAAAAGAACATCTGTAACATTCAATTTAAGCAACGGTTGGCTATAATCCTATATAATAAAAGGCTAATATGAAAATTGACCCAACGGCAGAACAACCGGTCACTATGATGCGCACTGACCACCAGGGGGCAGACGCTCAATGCAGCTGCCCCCTGGTGGTCAGTGTGCCAGAAGCCGGACTCACAGGCCTAAGCTGTCAGTTGGGCATCCCCTGAGGGCTCCTGGACTGCGAGAGGGTGCAGGCCGGGCTGAGGGATCCCCCAGTGCACGAATTTCATGCACTGGGCCTCTAGTTTAAAATAATACAAAATTATTTCAAAGGTCAATTTATCAAGATTCTTGGCAATTTTATTTTTAACTAAAGTTACTATTTAGAAAATCAAATTCATAATATCTCATTATACAGATTGGGCCTTAAAAGTTTTTCAAAGCCTCCAATATTTTAAATTCTGAAAATTTCCTGATCACAATCTTTTTCATTCTCACTGTAACATTTTTTTAAACATTTTGATTTTTAGAGAGAGAATAAAGGATGAGAAAGGGAGGGAGGGGGAGAGAGAAAGATTTGTTGGTCCACTTACTTATGTAGCCATTGGTTGACTCTTTTTTTGGCTAATCCTCACCGGAGGATATTTTTTAGAGAGAGTGGAAGGGAGGGAGGGGGGAGAGAGAGAAACACATCTATCGGTTGCCTCCTGCACACTGCCCAGGTCAGGCAGGGATTGGGCCTGCTACCCAGGTACCCTTGACCTGGAATCGAACCTGGACCCTTGGATCCAAGGGCCGATGCTCTAACCATTGAGCAACTGGCCAGAGTGATTGGTCAACTGTGCCCTGACTGGGGATTAAACCCACAACCTTGGCAAATCCGGATGATGCTCTAACCAAAAGCTATGCCGCCAGGGCCTTATTGAAACTTTTGTTGTGATTTCTGATTTCTGGAAAGCTTCCTATTCACTAACTTTATTACCCCTATTTTGGCTTCCCTTACCTTTGCCCACTCTATCTGGGTTTTATGCACTGCAGTTTCAGACTCATTCATCACAATAAAAATATTCCTCAATCCTATTTTACTGTGCTAATTTTCAACTGAAATAATTAAAATGTGGAATATCTATACAATGGAAAAAAATATAGAAATGAAGTACTGATAAATGCTACAGTATGGATAAAGCTTGAAAGCAATATGATAAATGAAAGAAAACAGATGTAAAAGGCCAAACATAGTACATGATCCCATTTATATGAAAAATCAAACAAAATAAAACCAGAATAGGAAAATCCACTGAGACAGGAAGTAGAGGAGTGGTTGCCAGGAACTTGGGGGAATAAAAGGAAGAGTAAGAGATGAGAGCAAAGGGCAGTGGCTGCTAATGGGCCTGGGCTTTCCTTTTGGGATGTAGAAAATGTTCTAAAATTAGTTTCTAGTGATGGCTGTGCAATTCTATGAATATGATAAAAACTATTGAACTATACGTTTTAAATGCGTAAATTTTATGGTATGTGGAATACATCTCAACTTGTTAAATAAACACCATCACAAGTAAAAGCAGGGTATAATAAGGAGAGAGAGAAAACGCGTGCATTGCTGGAATTGTATCTATGGCACTTCTACAACTCTTAGGCAATCCAGAGGTTTTATTAATATCTTAAGCACATATATCAGTATATTACCAATGGGTAAATTTCTATTTTCTAGAGAAAAAAGTAGCTCAAGAATAGAAAATTTGCTCACTGTATCATTCATTTGGTCATCTCCTGCCATAAAAAAGTTTTTATATACTAGTATTGTGGGCTTTCACCAACCCCATTCTCCTGAGAAATTCATTTTTCCCATACCCCACCTTCTTTCATATAGTAGCTACTAGTAGAGCTGTCATATTCCCACAAGACCCTGGTCATAGTTAGTTGATACTGGGTGGGCACCTTGAGCTAAGCCAGTACATCTTTTCTAAGATTTTAAAATCTGGAAACTAAAAAGTAAAAATCAGTTTCCCTGCTATCATGGAATCTATAAATTTCTGGTCCTGTTGGCACCCAGGGTCCCTGCCGCATGGAGTGGGCCAGTATGCAGTGAGAGAAAAGAAAGCCTACAAAGGAGAAGAGAGGAGAGATGGCAAAGGTACTACTAGAGGTAATCAGTTCTCTTATTCTTGTTCTTCATTAGATGTAGCTACACCTTACCATGTCAGGATTAGCTGGTTAATCTTTCCTTTGATTCAATAAACTGATAATTTACCCTTTTGCATGTTTTTTCAAAATGAATTTTTGTCACAGCCCAAATAAACAGAATCATACAATTCCAGAAAGACAGAGTTGGTTTGTTAGAGTTGGTTCATTGTGGGAAGCTGGTGGATTTTAATAAGGTAATAGCACTTTTCATTTCTGTACATTGTAGAATACGCTTCTATTCTCTTTCAGGAGAACAATCTTTAGTATCCTCTACAACATCTAATATTGCTGTCAGGTACAGAGAGAATCAGGACTACGGATTTCCTATTAGGAACTCTGCACTACACCCAAACAGAAGAAAGCAACTGGTTCTACAGCACCCAAGTTTAAGAATAAGCAAAATGTTGACATGTGGAATTCAAAGCACTCAAAACATCTTATCTTTGCCCTTCATTCATTTCCTCTCACTCTGAGACTTATACAGGTTAAATTATAAGTATCATGTATGGCTCCTTTATAATTTGCTCTTAAAAAAGAATTTTGAAGAGAGACTCATATTATTAACAGCAGTAATGAAAGTGGGGACACTCCTATTGATTTTACAGAAATAAAAAAGATCACAAGAAAATACTATGAACCATTATATGCTGATAAATTGGATAACCTAGGTGAAATGGACAAATTCTTAGAAACACACAAACTATCATAATTGACTCAAGAAGAAATAGATAATCTAAAGAGATCTATAACTAGCAAGTATATTGAATCAGTAATCTAAAACCTCCCAATAAAAATTTTTTAAAAAGCCTAGGCTCTGCCTGATGTAGCTCAGTGGGTTGGAGTGTCAACCCATACACCGAAACGTTGTGGGTTTGATCCCTAGTCAGGACACATACCTAGATTGCGTGTTCAACCCCTGGTCAAGGCGCTTACAAGAGGTAGCCGATGAATGTTTCGCTCTTACATTGCTCGCTCTCTCTTTCTCTCCCTCCCTTACCCTCTCTCTTAAAAAAAAAAAAAAAAGCCCAGGACCAGGACCATATGGCTTCACTGGTAAAATTACTAAGTATTTAGACAATCAATACTAATTCTTCCCCAAATCTTCCAAAATACTGAAGAGGAGAGAACCCTTCTTAACTCATTCTTAAAGACTAACATTACCCTGATTCACAAATAAGACAAAGACATGGCAGAACATGTAGAGAACTCTTATAACTCTACAGAAAACACACAATCCAACTCAAAAATGGGCAAAGAACCCAAACAAACATTTATTTTCTTTTTTTTTTAAATTTTTTAAAAAAAATATATTTTATTGATTTTTTTACAGAGAGGAAGGGAGAGAGATAGAGAGTTAGAAACATCGATCAGCTGCCTCCTGCACATCTCCCACTGGGGATGTGCCCGAAACCCAGGTACATGCCCTTGACCGGAATCGAACCTGGGACCTTTCAGTCCGCAGGCCGACGCTCTATCCACTGAGCCAAACCGGTTTCGGCTTATTTTCTTTTTTAAAAATGTTTTTATTGATCTTTAGAGAGAGAGAAAGGGACAGGGGGAGAGAGAGAGAGAAACATCAATGATGAGAATCATTGATCAGCTTGCCTCCTACTTGTTCCCAACTGGGGATCGAGCCGGCAACCCAGGCATGTGCCCTGTCCAGGAACTGAACTAGTGACCTCTTGGTGCATGGGTTGACGCTCAACCACTGAGCTACACTGGCTGGGCCTGAACAGACATTTCTCCCAAAAGATACAAAGGGCAATAAATACATTAAAAGATGTTCAGGATCTTAGTCATACTGGGAATACAAAATCAAAACTGCAGTGAGATACTATTTCATACCCACTATCATGACTATTGAAAGAAAATTTTTTTTAAAAAAAGGAAAATGGCCCTGGTTGGTTTGGCTCAGTGAATAGAGCGCTGGCCTGCGGACTGAAGGGTCCCAGGTTTGATTCTGATCAAGGGCACATACTCGGGTTGCAGGCTCGATCCTCAGTAGGGGGCGTGCAGGAGGCAGCTAATCAATGATTCCCTTTCATTATTGATATTTCTATCTCTCTCTCCCTTTCCCTTCCTCTCTGAAATAAAAATATATTTTTAAAAAAATAAAAAATGATTAATTGTGGGTAAGGATGTAGAGAAACTGTAATCCTTGTGCACTACTCATGGGGATGTAAAATGGTGCAGCACTGTGGAAAACAATATGGCGGTTCCTAAAAAGATTAAACACAGAATTATCATATGACCTGGCTATTCCACTTCTAGGTATATGACCATAAGAACTGAAAAGGGGAACTCAACAGATACTTGTACACCAATGTTCATAACAGCATTATTCACAACTAGAGGCCTCGTGCACAAAATTTGTGCACTTGTGGGTGTCCCTCAGCCCGGCCTGTGCCCTCTTGCAGTCTGGGAGCCTTGGGGGATGTCTGACTGCTGGCTTAGGCCCGCTCCTCAGTCAGACATCCTTAGCACTGCTGCAGAGGTGGGAGAGGCTCCCGCCACTGCTGCTGCGTTTGCCAGCTGTGAGCCCAACTCAGGGCTTCTGGCTGAGCGGAACTCCCCCTGTGGGAGCGCACTGACCACCAGGGGCAGCTCCTGCATTGAGCATCTTCCCCCTGGTGGTCAGTGTGCTTCACAGCGACTGGTAGTTCCACTGTTTGGTCGATTTGCATATTAG